TTAGGCACCTGAAGTGGCAGTTATGCACCTAAGTACCTTTGTGGATCTAATCCACGAAGCTTGTTGATCCCACTGATTTACAATGGCAAACCCAAAATGGAGTGTAGTGTAGAAAGCACAGACTGATTTTAGAGCATAAAACTGAGCTTAACCCAGCAGTCCTTAATCAGGATTTGACATTCCATTCCTTAAGTCCCAAGGCTGCTATTACAATATTATTATTTAGCATTATACAATGACCAGCATTACATTAATTGACCGCACACATTCTCCTGTGCCAGTAGGCATAAGGGGCTGATGCACTAGAGGCTTCAACCTGAATGGACACATTGTCTCCATTGCTTTCCTTTTCATTTACTTTGGAATTCCTAAAATGTTTCTACATCTTTTATCAAGATAGTGTTTTAAGCAAACTAATTATAAGGAAAGATTTTAAAAAAAGAATGGTATGGATGTAGAAGAAGACTGGAAACCTCATATCTCCTTGTGTCATAACTCAGGAACAAGGTGACTTCAATGAAAATAAAAGGTGGGAAATTAAAAACTGGTAAAAACAAATACTTTTTCATATCTGACTGAACTAACTGAAATAACTTTTATAGTGATACTACACTAACTATTTTGTTTCCTTGCCTCCAATTAAGCAAGTACCTCACTAAGGGTATGTTTACACTACAAGCTAAGAATTAAGATACTCAACTTCAGCTACATTAATTGTGTATCTGAGGTCAAAGTACCTTAACTTGACTTTTGGTGCTGTCCACACTGCAGGAAGACAAAGGGAGAACACTCTTCTTCTGACTTCCCTTACTGTTCGTGGAAGCAGGACTACCGGCATTGACCAGAGTGCCCCTCAGTTCAAATTAGCTTCACTAGACCTGCTAATTCCAATCATGGGAGATCAACAGTGGCAGCTTCGATCTTCTCTGTTGTGTAGACATACCCTTTGATAGCATTCCATCATTAGCTAAAAGCAAGTTGGCTACAAACCATTGAGGCTAATTGTTCAGTATGACGTGAGGTACATAAAAAACAACACTGTGGTGCGGTATACTCTCTGCAGAATGCTGACAGGAACATATCTGCAAAAGTAAGCAAAACAACTGTCAAGCAAGCCTGTGAGCAGAATATGTGAAGAGAGACACAGAGCATGAGTGGCCATCTCACATTTGTTCACTTCGTCCATTCAGTCAGCTCATTTAGTGCAGCATGAGAAAGAAGATCAAGAGAAGAAGAAACCAGGGGGAGAGCATCTAAGAACTGCTACCAACAGCTGTCAGCAGCCTGGGATTAAAGTGGTGCATCACCACTTAGCATCACTCCAGATGAGAGGCAATGTGGTTTGGGGCGCTCAGCTTGCTATGAGGGATTTGTGTTTTATAGCCCCATCAATAAGGGCTGCTGTTGTGTTAGGGATTTGTGTTTGCACTAATAAAGGGTGCTTTGCTTTGGAAAGAATACTGCTTATGTCAATCATTTATTGGAAGGCTGCACTGATGTACTATAATTTCTTAGCTATCCTGGAGAGCCATACCTGAGGAGAACAGATTGGGTATAACAAGTGAGCTACTTTGAGGGAAAATCTTTGGGGGATATTTAAATTGCTTTTGGTAGATGATTGTTTGCTAGCAAATTGTACTCTCCAACCATCTTTGATTTCTCACTGACTTCAAAGTAAAAGTAGCCAAAGTTATCAACATGTTCAGACAATGTGTCACACAGGTATTTTGAGTCTGGTACATTTTAATTTCTCTCATAATGTATTTGGTATAGTGTTCATTTGAATTATTACACTGTCTGTCACATTACATTTGGCATTGTTCTGCTTCAAAATATTCTTCCATCAGTAATAACCACATATAAAATATCTTCATTGAATAAAAAAATCCGTATGCATATGTTCATGAAATACAGTATGTACATTACAGTCCTTCAGTTTTAAGGAAAGTTAAAATTCGGGATGAAACATTTACAGTGTCCACTTGCCCTCTGTAATAAAAATATTTAATAATGCCTGCTTTTGTCTTTTTGTGAATCTGTTTTCTAAACATTTCCCTCATGTTAGATTTATGCAGTTTCAAGGTTTAATCATGATTTAATATTACATGTTATATATCCAAATTGTAAATTAGACAGAACATCATCAAGAAGTTTCTAACATTGAAAGGAGAATTCTGTTTCAATTGTTATCTAGAGATTCTACCGGACATATTTTCAAAAGCACGTGTGAATTTTGGAGGACCTGATTTGGACAAGTTAGGCCTGATTTTTAGAGGAACTTAGCACGTTGAGCTGAAACTGGAGTAGGAAATGCTAATAATTATCTCTGGAATTCAGGCCCAAAGTGTTTGAAGTTGGACACTCAAAATCAAAGTCTAATTTTGGCCTAAATATAGGCCAGGATTTTCAAAGGGCGTGAAGGATTTATGTGCCCAACTCCCATTGACTTCCAATGGGAGTCAAAACCTTAACTGCTTTAGGTTCACTGGTCAATATAAAATCTAGGCCGTAAAGCCTGAGACAAATAGACAAGGGCATTCTCAATGTTTGCAGTACCCCCTATCCTCACAATAGGGTATACTGCAGATGAGATCATGCTTTTTAATTATCTAAGGCAAGTGATTAAGGATAGGGGTGGCTATTGTGTGTCCCACAATTTTCCCCAGCCTTAGCCACAATGGTTTCATGCATAATTATAACAACACTGTTCTGACACCTCTGAAAACCCTTTTCCTTCTCCTCCCTGAGAGAGGCCCTTTAATGTTTCTAAACCCTGAGTTCACTGAATCTGAGGCCTGCAGTACAGAGTTTGTCCCACACTTTCCATTACTAGCTGAGTTGGTAAAGCTAAAAAGTTTGACAGAATCACAGAAATGTTATGTATCGAAGCTGATATACTCTTGGAAGGGTAACCTTAGTAACAGCTAGGATTGCCCTGCACAAAAGACTGAAACTGCACTCCTGCCATGTACTTATTCCAAAATAATTATGACTTGGCCAACAAGATTATCTTTCAGCCACTCAACAAGAAACTAAACCCTATAATCTGTAATACATTTTGTGAGCATTAAAGATAGGTTATGATACTTTCTACAAAAAAAGTGAGGGGGAGTGTCTCAAAGTTTAATTTAAAAACTATTACTGTCGAATGGTGATTTTTCTTTTCATTAGAAATGGGCCCAAATTAAACACATTATTTAAACTTTGAAGATGTTCGTATCTGCATTCAATATCTTCCCAAATCTTAAAGAGTTATCATCTAGAGCAGGGGTCTCAAATTCATGGCCCACAGGCCACTTATGACCTGGGTAGTTCCACAATCTGTCCCATGCATGGTAGCTGACACGTGAGTCCCTGTGGCTCTGGGGGAAAGGGAATCCATACTCTGTTCTCAAGTTCAGCCTCTGCTCTGCCCTTTCCCCCACCATTATATCCATTCCCTCAAGCACCTCACCTGAGGAATGCAGCCTCAGGAATTACCAGTACGCCTGGTGTAGGATGGCAGCAGGGGTCATCCCCACGTCCCTATACTCACAGCAGTGGCAGGAGCTGAAGGGAAGCAGAGTGATGCAGCAGCATTGGAGCAGAGTAGAGAAGATGCTATCTCCCAGGCTAGCTCGGTTGCTCTGCTTCACCGTGGGCCCAGCTCAGGCTGGCTTGGGAGATGGTGGCAAAACTGAATAGCCTTCTGTGTATCTCCAATTCACCACAGCTCCCATCAAGTGAGCATGGGGGAGGCCCAACTGCTGCTGCTGGCCTCAGCCAGTCCAGGGCCCTGCAGGCTAACCTGAATATGAGGGACCATCCTGTCCATAGGACAGTTGAGGCGGCCATCGTGGAGCCTCCCAAAGGCACAGGGCCTGAGGCAGCCATGCTGACCTGTCCTATGGACAGAATGGCTCTGCACACACCTCTCCTGGGGCTACATAGACATGGCAGCAGCAGTGCAGAGATAGCAACTGGAAGCTGCTTTAGTTTTGCTGCACTACTGTTTATGGTGCCGGGAGAGGGTGGTGGTTGCGGGAGGTTTAAATCATCGTGCAATGGCCATCAGGGCTGCAAGATGTGTGGGGATGGGAAACGCACATAGACACATACATCCTACTTGTCCCCTGGAGTCCTGTCCGGAAGGGGTGCCTATTGGCCCACAGGGGTACGTCTACACAGCAATATTATTTCAAAATAACTAGCATTATTTCAAAATAACTTAGTCCATGTCTACACAGCAGGCAGTTATTTCAAAATAATGTTGAAATTCTGTTAACCTGGGGGACTTCTTACTCCAACTCCTGTAATCCTCATTGTACAAGGAGTAAGGGAAGTTGGAGGAAGAGTGCTCTAATTCAAAATCAGTGCTGTGTAGATGCTCCCAATGTCAAAATAAGGTATTTCTAAATAAGATACATAACTGAGGTAGCTCAATTTGCGTAGCTTATTTTGAGTTAAGCCCTGCAGTGTAGACGCACCTGCAATTTGAGGATTGGCACTGGCCTTAAGGTAAATTGAGTTTGAGACCCCTGACCCTAGAGTAGGATTTGGTCCTTCTTAGATGGAAGTGACAGCAACATGGATGTAAACTCCTCTGAAACTGGGGAATGTTCAGAACTGTGTATTAAGACATTACAGAAATTGGGGAAGTTCAGAAGATAGAAACAGATTAGAACTTCTTCAAGATTCAGATGGATTGAAGGTTTTGCTTTGGGCCTCCTCAATAGCTTTTCAATAAAACTTTGTGAAAGGAGTTCTTCCTGGCAGGATAGCTCAGTACTGATTTGTTGAAAAAAATAGAGGGATGAGTGGTAAGGAGGCAGCTCACATGATGTCATGACTAGAAAACATTTCAAAATAAATTACATTCATTGCTTTGAATGTCATTTCCAAATTGAGCAGAAAGGGATTTTTGTACTTGGGAACTTTTGAAAAATAAATGGATTTT